CCGCAGCAGCAACAGCCGCAGCAGCAAGAGCTCCAGCAGCAACAGCCGCAGCAGCAACAGCCGCAGCAGCCAGAGTTCCAGCAGCAAGACCTGCAGCAGCAGCAGCCGCAACAGCAACAGCCGCAGCAGCAACAGTTCCAGCAGCAGCAGCCGCAGCAGCAACAGCCACAGGAGCAACAGCCGCAGCAGCAACAGCCGCAGGAGCAACAGCCGCTGCAGCAACAGTTCCAGGAGCAACAGCCGCAGCAGCAAGAGCTCCCGCAGCAACAGCCGCAGCAGCAACAGCCGCAGCAGCAAGAGCTCCAGCAGCAACAGCCGCAGCAGCAACAGCCGCTGCAGCAGCCGTTCCAGCAGCAAAACCCGCAGGAGCAACAGCTGCAGCAGCAGCCGCAGCAGCCCGAACTGCAACAGGAACAGGCAGAGCAGGGGCTGCAGCAACAGCCGCAGCAGCAGCAGGCTGAACAGCAGCAGCAGCCACAGACTGAGCAGCCGAAGCAGCCTGAGCAAGTGCAGCAGCAGCAAGAACAGCAGCAGCAGCAACAGCAGCAGCAGCAACAGCAGCAACAGCATCAGCAAGTAGCTGGCTGGGGCGAGACGTCGGTATTGGAGCAGGAGGAGCAGCAGCCCGAACTGCAGCAGCAGCAACAGCCGCAGCTGCTGCAGCAGCAACAGGAACAGCAGCAGCAGCAGCTGCTGCAGCAACCGCCCGAACTGCAGCAGCAGCAGCAGCAGCAGCAGCCCGTAGAGCAGCAGCAGCCAGAGCAAGCGGAGGAACCTCTGGCAGCAGCTGCTGCTGCAGAGCAGCAACAGCAGCAGCAGCAGCAGAATCTGGGGCAAGACCAGACTTTCCAGGCTCCGCAGCAAGAAGCGCAGCAGCTGCAGCAACAGGAGCAGCAACCGCAGCGGGAAGAGCAGCAGGTGGAGCAGCCTGATCAACAGCAGCTCCAGCGAGAAGGGCAGCAGCTGCAGCAGGAGCAGCAGCAACTGCAGCAAGAGCAGCAGCAACTGCAGCAATTGCAGCAAGAGCAGCACCAGCCGCAGCAACAAGAGCAGCAGCTGCAGCAGCAAGAGCAGCAACTGCAGCAAGAAGAGCACAAGCTGCAGCAAGAGGAGCAGCTGTACCCGGAGCAGCATCAACCGCAGCAAGATCAGCAGCAGCAGCAGCAAGATGGGAAGCAACTGCAGCAGGGGGAGCAGCAGCTGCAGCAAGATCAGCAGCAGCAAGGAAGGCCTGGGCAAGACGGGGCCCTGCAGCAGCAGCAGCAACAGCAACAGCAACAGCAACAGCAGCAGCAGATAGCAAGGAGGCGTACCGATTTCGGTGGCCCAGAACAGCAGCAGCAGCAGCAGCACCAGCAGCACCAGCAGCAGCAGCAGGCAGCGAACGTCTCTGCGCTGCAGCAGGAGCTGCTGCTGCAGCGCTTGGGAGGCTTCCTCGGCTCTTCACGCTGCAGCTTCTCCTGGAGTTGTGCAGCCTTTGCTGATCTACTGGCGATGCAGCAGCAGGGGCTGCTGCAGCTGCCAGCAGCAGCAGCAACAACACAAGCAGCAGCAGCAGCAGCAGCAGCAGGACCTGTGGCGGAGCTGGTGCGGGCCCTTGCTGCAGGGCATGAGACTTTGAGGTTGAAGCAGCAGCAGCAGAAGCAGCAGCAGGAGAAAGAGCAGCAACAGCTGCAGCAGCAGCACACGCAGCAGCGGCGTAAGGAGCAGCATCAGCAGCAGCAGGAGCAAGAGGCAGCTGCAGAGACGAGGGCCCATATGCGCACTGCGTTGCTGTCTCTGCTGCAGCTGCAGCAGCAGCTGCAGCAGCAACAGCAGAACCAGCAGCCAAGTAGCACCAGCCCCACTACGAGCAGCACTAGCGGCACGATCACTAGCAGTCCTGGCAGCAGCAGCAGCAGCAGCAGCAGCAGCAGGGTATTGCTGTGGCTGAGGATAGAGCTACCTGTTATGTTTATCAGCAGCGCAGAGAGGCATGAAAGGCGCTGCGCTTTGCGATGTCTCCGCAGACAGCAGCAAAGAGCTTACAGCAACAGAAAGCACCTCCTTGCTGTCCTCGACAAGCAGCAGCAGCCGCAGCAAGAGCAAGAGCAGCGGCAGCAGCAGCAGCAGCAGCAGCAGCAGCAAGAGCAGCAAGAGCAGCAGCAGCAGGAGCTAAACGCTGCTGCACAGGAAGAGACAAAGGAGACAGATGGCAGTGGGGTGCAGCAGCAAAGGCCTGCTTCTCCTGATGCTGGGCAGTGCAGCAACAGCAGCAGCATCAGCAACAGCAACAGCAGCAACACGAGCGGCAAGAAGAGCTTTCTTGGGAGCCTCCGCCGCAAGACTGCAACCTTAACAACCAGCAGCAGCAGCAGCAGCAGCAGCAGCAACAACAACAAGGGGAAGCTATGGGCTTCAGCAAGTGCAGCAGGTGCAGCAGGAGCAGCAGGAGCGCTGCAGGGGGCGAAGCAGCTATTAGGTAAAGCCAAGCGGGCTTTGACGTTTGCTTCTCTCAGCAGCTCTGTTAGAAAGGAAGCAAACAGCAGCACGAACAGAATAAATATAAATAAAGATAAACAGCACGATGAACAGCAAGCAGCAGCAGGGCAGCCACCTGAAGCAGACGCAGCAGCAGCAACACACACACCAGAAGACAATGAGAATACAGCAGCAGCAGCACCAGCAGCAGCAGTAGACGCAGCAGCACCAACAGCAGAGATAGCAGCAACGGAGACAGCAGCAAATGGAGGGGGGGCTGGCCTTCTACCTTTGCGTTTGCCTGTCTCTTACGACGCTGCTGCTGCTGCTGCTGCTGCTGCTGCTTGGAAGTTTTTGTCTCCAAGGGACGAAGCAGGGGCGGCGCAGCTGCAGCGCTGCTGTGCTGCTTTGCTGCTGCTGCTGCTGCAGCAGCAGCAGCAGCAGCAGGACTGCTGCCTTTGGGGTCTAGAGGTTTCAGGAGATATTGAGGATCAGCAGACATGGGTGGCATTTTGTGCTGCAGCAAACCGACGCATTGCGCAGCTGCTTGCTGCGCTGCCCCAAAGAAAGCAGCAGCAGCAGCAGCAGCAAGAAGCAGCAGCAGCAGCAGCAGCAAAAGGCGAAGCAGAACCAGCAGCAGCTGCTGTTGCAAGGCCTGCCGCAACTACAGAGGCTCTAGATGCGCATGATTTGGCTTCTGCAGACCCGCAGCAGCAACAGCAGCTGCAGCTTCAGCAGCAGCAGCAGCGAGAAGAACTGAAGCAGCTGCTGCAGGTTGAGTCGCGTCTGCTGCTGCTGCGGCAAAGCCCAGACGAAGTTGCTGCTCCGCTGCTGCCGCAGCGCGTTGATGAGGACATCAGCGAGCCCAAGTTTCTAGGGTCAGCAGCAGCAGCAGCAGCAGCAGCAGCAGCAGACGAAGAAGAAGAAGAAAGACCAGATGAAGAGCCGTTGCTGCTTGCTGCTCTATCTCTTATCGAAGCTTTAATACGCTCGCAGCCTTCGCTGCGCTTCTTGTCTTTAGGGGGCCCCGTGCTGGATCTGCTGTCACAGACACCCGATTTGCTGCTGACGAACTGGCGCTGCAGCAAACTTGCTGCAGCGCAACGCCGCATCGTGCTGCTCCTCTCCCACTCCCCCGCATTCGAGCAGCAACAGCAGCAGCTACTGCAGCAGCAGCAGCAGCAGCAGCAGCAGCAGGTGACGCAGTGGCTGCTGCTGCAGTCGCTTGAGGTGTTGGTTTTGAATCACCCGCACAGAGGCTCCGGTGTGTCTCGGCTGCTGACAGCCAGCATAGAGGATGGAGTCTGCTGCTGCAGCAGCAGCAGCAGCAGTAGCAGCAGCAGGAGCAGCAAGAGCAGCAGGAACAGCAGCTGCTGCTGTTGCAGCTGCCACAGTGGCGCGGCTTCCTTACAGGACAGCCGCATGCAGTCTTCGGAGGCTCAGTGCCCGTGTGCAGCTGGCGGAGCAGCAGCAGGTGCAGCAGCAGGTGCAGCAGCAGCAGCAGGAGGAGGTCTCACGCAGCGAGTCAGCCTCAGTCAAGTGCCTGACGAGAAAGAGCAGCACCAAACACCGCATGAAGGAGAGACACCTCAGTGGTCCTGGCACTACAGGCTAGCGCGGGGACAGCTGCGGAGCGGAGACAGCGACACCTACCAGCAGCAGCAGCAGCAGCAGCAGGAGGAGGAGCAGCAGCAGCAGCAGCAGCAGGAGGAGGAGGAGCAGCAGCAGCAACAGCAGCAGCAGCAGCAGTTGCAGCTGCAGGCGAAGTTTTCTGCGCTGTCCATGCGTTCCACTAGAAATGCAGCACCTGGAACAGCAGCAGCAGCAGCAGCAGCTGGTGCAGCAGCAGCAGAAGGTATCGAAGGAGGAGCTATTCGCTGCTTTGCTGCTGCTGCTGCAGCACGACCCGCCGTCTTAGCAGCTTTTATCTGTCACCCAGACGAAGTGCAGCAGCTGCTGAACTTCATAGGCAGCCTTGCGCCCTCCTCCCCCAACCAGCAGCAGCAGCAGCAGCAGCAGCAGCAGCAGCAGGGCTGGGGCAGAGAGCTGAAGTCTTTGTATCTATCCAACACCATGACGGGGTTGCTGCATATGCACCGCTATAGGGGGAGGCCTGCTGCTGCTGCTGCAGCTGCAGCAGCAGCAATGGCTGCGCGCGAGATCTGGAGGCAGCAACAAGGTGAAGCGAATAGAGCAGCAGCAGCTGCAGCAGCTGCAGCAGAAGGCGCAGCAGCGTCGGACGTGCCAGAGGCAGCAGAGAAGCTCGAAGCAGCAGCAGCAGCAGCAACAGCAACAGTAGCGGAGGCTACAGCTGCTGCATCTGTAGCATCAGCAGTAGCAGCTGCAGCAGCAGCAGCAGCAGCAGAAGAAGAAGAGGAGCAAGATGAAAGAGAAGAAGCTGCTACTTTGCTGCTGGCAGCAAAGAGGCATCCGTATATGTCTCTCAGCAGCAGCAAGTGCAGAGGCGTTCAGGAGCAGCTGCTGCAGCAACAGCTGCTGGTGCTGCCGCAGCTGCTGCGTTTGCATTTAAAACGATGCAGTTTGCTGCTGCCGCTCTTCAGCTGCTCCTCGCTGCAGCAGCTGCTGCTGCAGCGCACCACCATACATATCTCCAGCTTATTAGAGG